TTCTATTCTGTTGTGGACAGGGCTACGGGCACCTGACAGCTCCGATAACCTGCCAATCTCGCAGCGTAACTGCTGTTTGTTCTGCTTTAAAGCATGGCAGCTTGGCTGCTGACACTTTGCGCCATTTCCTTTGTGTTTGCCCCCTGTCCACCGCAGCGGATGTTCGCACATGCATGCTGCTGTGGCATTTGCAGACTGGCATGATGAGCATTGAAAGTTCAGCACCCATAGTTCAATCGTTTTGCAGGTCCGCCGCGATTTTTGGAGTCTTCTGAAGGGCAACTATGGTATCACTTTGCCCTTCGACATGCCCTCAGAGGTGAAGTTCCTAAGACTCAGTTGTGCTTGAAGTGCTGTGCGAGGTTGCGTTGATTTATGGACTGGCCCCCGTGAGGTGCAAGTTCGATGAGCTAAGCCGGTGCAGATCACTGCAGCAAACTTGTGCAGGTATCAAGTCGCTTGCTTCGCTGCACTCACGCTGGCATACACCATCGTCCTTGGCTTGGGAGCGGGGGAACTCGAGAGAGAAAGGTGCAGGCAAGCAGAGGCAAAGTGTCAATCAACAGTGCGAGTGCAAAATCATTTCCGTCTCCAGGGACCATCCGCTCAGCTTGCTGCTTCAGGTTTTGAGCTTGTGGGCCAGCGCACGCGACCCCACAGATGCGATTCAAGCAGAAAGTGGCCACAAGTGCACCGATTGTGTTGTCAGATCCGGTTTTTTGCAGACACTCAGTGTTTAGGAAGATGTTGGGGAACTCTGCCGAGCGGATGGTGACGGAACAGGCGTTGAACATGTGACAAAGAACTCACGTAGAGGCCGTAGAGGAGACCAATCTTTCTGAGACAGACATAGCATTTTCATGGTCTAGGGCCGCTCAGTTTGTGCAAACATGTGGTCGCTGTGGTTTGGTATGCTCATGCTTCTGTTGCCAGCAGATGTGGCAGCAGTGCTGGGACGGCACACCTTGCCAGTATCGCAATGGAGAAAGACTTCGAGGAATCGAATCTCATCTGGGGACATCGAGAGCTTCGAGAGAGCAGCACAGGAAGGCAATCGGTTCAATATGCACACTTGCTTCATGCCTGGCATTCTTCCGTAGTAGGAATGTTGATGTTGCACCATGTTGCTGCATCTTGCGTTCCGTGCAAAAACAGCTTGCAAGGTGACGAGGCTTCTTTACTCTATGAAGTTGGTGCAGCTATCGGTCGTGCACTTCCCAACAAACTGAAGCGGAAAGAGCTCTTTGAAGCATTCGAGGTGGCATGCCTTGTACAGAGGCAGGCCCGACAAGAATCATATGCAGCTGGTACTGTGGTAGATCTTTGTGCCGGCTGTGGATTGCTGGGCGTTTTCTTGGCCCTCATGTGGCCGCGTGCCAGAGTCATCGCAATGGATCGCAAGCAGTCGGTCTTATCCCGGATGCTTGCAGAAGGTGCCATTACGCAGTGGCCACTACTCAGAGACAGATTTGAGTGGAAAGTTTGTGATATGCGGCGAAGACCTGTGGATAACTCTGCCGAACCTATTTCTTTGCCTTCCGATTGCATGGTTGTGGCATGTCACGCCTGCGGCTTGCTGACGGATGAGGCGATTGCTGCCGCGTGCTCCGGGAGTTTGCGACCCATGGTTCTGGTGCCCTGTTGCTATGTCACAAACCCCAAGATTGGCCATCCCAATCCGGGGCACCCGTGTCACTCTTGGGAGAGACTACCGTGGCTTAGGGAAGGTGCTGTGAACCGAAAGGGTCGCACAGCTATAGATGATGCTAGAATTGCCTTCTTACGGGCCCTCGGGTATCATGTCAGTGTGGACCACATAGATCCGCAAATCACAAAATACAGCAAAGCCATAAGTGCTTTCCCGGCGAAGCAGAACTTCGCCCCAGATTGAGTTCAATGCAACAAATGGTCAGCGGCTCACACGAAGCCGTCATTCCCGGGTTGACTCGGCGTCTCCGCCGCACGTAGTTAGGTCCTTGGGTTCTGCGCATGCTCATCAGTGCCCCGTTCTTGCAGAAGCTCACCTCTGAGTCCTGCCGGTGCTTGTCATGCAAAGGCTCAGGATAAGAAAGAAATAGTGTGTAGCATTGCCGTCCGGGTGGCTATGGGATGCGGTGCATGCCTCTCTTCGGCAAGATGTGTGAGAGAGACAGTTTCTAATAGACGAAGGGTTTCAACTTCCAGGAAGGCCCCTTGCAAAGCCCACCTTTCCCAGCTGACAGACATGTAGCTTTATGTAGCAAGTTGCTGGGAGACGAAGCAAGTGCCGTTTCTGGCAAAACTTGCACTGCATTGAGGCAAGACACCAAATCAAGATATTGTGGAGTTCAACTTCTACGATAGCTACAAGCTCGGCAAGAAGCTGGGGCAGGGAACTTTTGGACAAGTCCGACTAGCAAAAGACAAGCTGAATGGCAAGGAATTGGCTGTGAAGATTGTAGATGTTCGGCACTACGACGACAAGACGGGGGTTTGTACTGGCCAAATAAGCCGGACACGCAACAAGGCAACCAGAGACGAGGTTGTGTTTTGGAAGCGTGTCTGCGCTGCTGAGTGCGAACATGTCGTGTTGCTTCATCGGGCTTTTTCCGACAATTCCCTGTACTACATGGTTTGCGAAAGATGCAAGCGCTCCATGTTGGACATGACAGTTGATGGACTGACAGAGCCAGATTTATCTGACATATTCAAGCAGATGATCAAAGGAGTTTTGCACACCCACAGAGCAGAAATCGTCCATCGAGATGTTAAGCCCGACAACTTCTTGTGGGGTGGGCCGGAGCATCGTACACTGAAGTTGTGCGACTTTGGTCTTGCAGCAGCAATGCCGCAGGTGGGAAAGCTCTTCGGAGTGTACGGCACGGCTCCGTACATGGCTCCGGAGATGTTGACCAATGTCGGCTATGACTACCTGGTTGATATTTGGTCGCTGGGTGCAGTTGCTTTCCTCTTGACATACGGTCGGTTTCCGTACACACCAGTGGAGCAAACCTCCGCTTCAATGAAAGAGGCTATCATCAAGGATTCACCTCCTTTGCATATTGGAACAGAGAGAGTTTCCGATGGAGCGCCATGCTCGGATTTGTTGCTTAGTTTCATTCAGTCGACCTTGTCACGAGACCCTTCAGCCCGGCCGACAGCGGATCTTGCGCTCGAGCACGCTTTCTTTGAAAGCCAATCAGAGGCAGGAACTCCTCTCAGAGTCGCGTCACGACATGAAAATCCCATCCATCAGAGCAGTTCATGTTGCCCTGTAGGTTGCAGCGGACCACGACGATCAGGAACAAGACGGCGAAGATGCTGAGGACGAGGAAGCAGTGTCCGCTCGACCTATGACTCACATCCGATCACTGACGCACAAAATGACTACCCGACCGAGCGCCACCGTTCAGAACGGAATCGACGAGCTCCTCCAAAAGCTTTTCGTAAAACATGGTGGGGAAGCCGCTGGTTCCAACATGTTCTTCTCCGAAGGAGACGAGGACACAGAACGCAATCAGGCGGACGACAGCTCGCCCACGATCTCGCAGGCCGACTGCAGAATTCGCAAGAAGAATTCGCGACGTAACGTGAAACACGTGACCCATTCAGGAGTGTTGACCCCATCAGCTGCAATAGCACGCTCCAGCACTGCTTCTTCAAATTCAGGGGACGTCCCTGGTGGTGCCGGCTAGAGCCCTCCATCCCACATAGTGAGTGGCTTTCTTCAGAGTTTATCGTTTCACGTTGTGCAAAGTTCCGTTTCACAGTGGCCAGAAGCACGCACGTGCCCAACTTCGCTTGTGCCATGAAGCAGTTCGGTTCAAAGCCAATGCTTCTGACGAGACTATGTTGGTTCTGGTGTGAGAAACAGACTCAGCTTGTTTGATCGGATGCGGCAATGTCACTTGAATGGCATGAATTGCGTTCACAATTTCTTCGCCGCCTTTCTCTCCACAGACTGGTCCTTCAGAGCGTGGAGAACAGTATAGCTGACGCGTCGCTCTCAGCTTCGCCCGATGCTCCCTTAGCATCCTGTAGGACATGATGCCTTTCGCACGAGCTCAGCAGAGCCTAAAAATGCGAAGAAGAAATGATTTGCGGGACCCCTCGCAGCATCTCGCAGCCTCGCCCCGTGCATTGGATCCTCTGAGCCTAGGCTGCATGGTCCTCCGGTTGTCAGAGTCATGTCCACGCGTCGAATAGCCTCGTCTGAGGCCGACGTACATGGAGATGGTGGCACTACAGTACGGCATCATGGACTGGCAGCGAATTGGCGGTGTGGCTCTTCGCCTACAGCACTAACATACACTAGCAGTCCTCGCAGCCGTCGCCAGCCACATTGGCGCCGGGCCTGGTGCATCCGTGTGTTATTGGGACTTCCAAGATCAGCGACTGAGATCTTGATTCGTGTTGCAAGCTTGGGAGTCGAAGTTTTCGCCCATGGATTGACTATCGATGATTCCTCGGATTGGCTTCTTCCGCGTGCTCGAACCGCTGCATTGCTGCGCCAGAGGCCGGCAGAGGCTGCTATGGCTATAGCCGCGTGATCCAAGACCTAACCTCCATGCTGTTTTGCTGGTGGTTTGTGTGTTGCCCATGCAAGCTTCGGCCGCTGTGGAGATGCGACTTCGTGCAGGCAGTTATTATTTCACGCTCAGAAGGAAGACCGGTGTGTGATCGCAGAGATGGGATGCCTGTCATGATCTTTCAGGACCTGCTGATGAATCTCGCTCTTGCATTTGCTCGGGTGGAGGCGAGGCCCAATGCCGAGCTAGAACCAGGACCCGACCAGCTCGACGTGCTGCAGAGCCTGAATCGAAAATGCATCACTTTTGCTTTCCCTGTCAGCTTGCTTAATTTTCAATACTTCACTGCGACTGACCGGATTGGGTACTAAGTCACTATTTGCACCCCTTGAGACAAGCTGTTCTACTTCTGCTTAAGCTCCGTGGCGTGTTGAAAGGGGCCGTTCGGGCCATGGTCAATGATGGCAGAGCCGGAGGAGCCCTGCTGCGCGCATGGTGGCTGCCTAAGTTAAGACTCTGTTGTTTATTTGGTGGTGCTTTCCGGTGGCTGATGAATTCGTTGTGGAGTCGCCAGAACATGCTCGATCACTGAACAAGGACCTGAGCTTCGCTGCCTGCTGCTGAGCTGTACTGCGATATATCTGCGATAGTCGTGTTCGAGCAGAAGCATGTGTATGTGAGAACAGAACCGAGCATGCGTCATGGAGCACTGCCACTTGAATTTACCTCGGTAGTTACAGTTTCCTGAGACTCCATGATACGGTCTTCGCTCGATCTCCTTCGTAGCGCCAGTCAATCTCGCGAATCAATCTTGCATTCTGCAAGGAAGGGGAAGAAGGGTGGCCAGCTGCACATGCACAGCAGGGTGCACCGGAATGGCACACCGGCAAAATCATGAGCGGCACCGCAGGAAGAGCTTCGGTTTGTGCCTGGGTTTGCCTGCAAACCCAAGAACCTGATTTTCAAGCCTGTCACGAATTCGATACCATTGAAGGCAAGATTGCTGTTGGACATGCGCTACATGGGATTTCACTTCATCACTTCTGTGCGTACAGGTCAAAGCGTCCTGTGCGAGAAAGAGCGGAGCGAAATGCGTAAGACAAGCCCAAGAAAGGCAAGTCAAGTGCGCCCCTGGAAAAGTGGGCACCACAGGCCCTATCATGCAAACCCCAATCAGACAGACAGCGGAAAGCAGGAGCACACGAGGGTGCTCAACGCACTCACCGTGATGACTGATGGGGGGCGGCGAGACGCCTAAATATGCCTAAGGCGAGCCCGCAAAAGGGAAACATGAGAGACAGCGGCGGCAGCCGGAGGCAGGGCCATGGGAATGGCGATCAGAGTGTCGAATCCAAGTTGGCGGATGGTGGAGGTGCCAACGGCACGAGGGCAGAGACGAAGCACCTCCCAGAATGCAGCAGCGAGGCAGAAAGGGCCCCACAAACACAGGCCAGAGGAGGTGAAGGAAGGTCAACATGCGTCTCATGAGTGTGCGGTGCCGGTTCGCCATGTTGAAAGAGGCGGCAGACTTGGCAGAGTCAAGATGCGGTGCGTTGTGCCGCATGAAGGCGGTGCGACGCCACACCTCCGGCGACCAGGAGTGCGCGGTGTCAAGTGCAAGGAATAGCTTCCAGGAGAGAGCCCAAGTGCCGGGAAGTATCCACAGAGTATGCTGCACCGGGAAAGTCTTCCGCCGCACCGACGGGATGTGCCAAGCCTGTGATCAGACGCTTCCTCAACGAAGGAGAAAATGGAGAAGGCAGAGCTGCCATCTCCACTGGCCCAGGAAGGGGCTCGCGAGACAGTGATAGCCCCGGGGACAGCCGCAGGGGCTCAGATCGCCATATGCATATACCGGGCCAACCACACATCGAAGACCATGTTCACATGAGGGCGAGTGCAAAAGATGGTAGCGTAAACTCGCCGAGTTGTGGAACTCCTTCATGCACCACAGGCAAACAGTGCCGAGGGTGTATTGCGTGCAGAGTGCCACCTTGCCGTGCTGCCTGTGAGCGTGAGCTGCCAACGCGAAGCACAGCACCGCAATCCGAGCCGTGATGTCGGGAAAGAGCTCTCACCTCCCAAGCCTGTAGCGGCCTGTGCTTGGCCTTCTTGAGAATTTGAGCACGCTCCTTGCGGGCCTCCGATGCGAGGTCGACGACAGATCGAACTGCAGCGTATGGCACGTAGAATACCGACCGAAACCAAAATCCAGGAACCCAGTCCAAGCAGCCCCACGCCACCAGTTGGCGGAGTAAACTGCGACAAATGGTGCCGGGGAAAGACCGAGATGGCAGTGTTGAGCCTAGAAAGGCCGCAACAAGCGCAACGAGTGCTGGGGTCAGGCTACGAATGAGCGCCAACACTCCTGGACGTTGCGCAAAAATTCGCCTGAGCCGTGACGCCTGCTACATGGGACCATGAAAATCCAAACAGACGGTTAAGGGCGCAGCCCTCGTCATCTCCACGTGAAAACAAGTGAACCCCGGTTACACAGAACTTCTGGCCGCGAGCGGACGGGGGGATCATCCCAGCACTTAGTAAACACGACTTTCGCGTCACTAGAGCGTTGATGGACACTGCCAGTGCGGCCTTGCTGCCAAGCCATCGCCGACCGGAGTAATTAAGGGAAATTCCCAAAGCCTCCCAAATCCAAACCCAGGCAAGACTTAACCAATATTGAAAAGTCTCTAGACCTGATCGCTGACAGTCGACCAGGGCAAAGTTTGGTTATGCAAGGCTCTTGGTTTTCAATTGTCCATGAAGCCGCATCCACATGCATCCATGCATGTGTGGTCCAGCAATGTGGTCCCGCTGCCCGGTTAGATCACGGCTACAGCCCGGCAGGTCCTGAATTGGCTCGAAAGATCGTGAAAGCGTCATCCTACTTCAGACACTGAGTAATCAGTTTTTTTCTCGCTCTCCTCGCATCCGCTCCTGACCAAATCCGGAATTGGCTGTCTGGTACTGCCGTTTTTCCTTGCCTCTGTTTGCCTTTAGCTGGAAAATCGCGTCACTGAGAAGGGTATCTGGCAAAATAGCTTGTTGTGGTTTAATTTTCCGTTCAGGCAGAGGACGCGGAGGCCGAATGGGCTGACGGGGACGATGACGTGCCCGTCGTCGTGGACGGGTCACAGAGGAACGGGCCCTCCAAGGGGGCTGCGGCTGCCACTGCCGCTGCCTTGCCGTCAAGCAAAAAAGCCTTCACAGGTCAGGCCTCCGCCTTTGTCAAGCCGTTGCCTTGCGGGCCCTTGCCCTTTTGGAATCCTTGGGGCCCATTTGCAGGCTCCCGGCCACCTTCGAAGATCCACGGCAACCCCGCGACCAGGATGGTTGGGGAAAGTGGGCAATGATATCGAAGAACTGCAGGCCTCATGCCCTGTGCTAGGTACTTTGTAATCAAGAGCAGCAGCCACAAAAACCTCGTGCGGGCCGCGCTCTAAACAAGAGAAGCCGAGAATGTGATTGCCTCTAAGGTTCTGTCGATTGAACACAAGGCAGGCTGAGCAGAAAACTGCTTTTGTTTCCAAGACATCACTAAATTCCACTCCGTTGGGAGACGACTGGACATGGTTCCTCCTCAAGCCTTAATCTTGACGGCTTTCCTGTGCGGGCAGGTTTGGGCTACTCCGTCGCGGCAGAACCAAGAGAAGCTGAACGAGGCGTTCCGCACTGCGCCGCACGTGATACTCCTCTTCTCCGTCAACGGCGCGCGCCCCAACGGTTTGGCTGAACAACGAAATACACAGGAAATTGGAAGAGGGGTGAATGTGGTTTGGTACCATTCAAGTTCTAATTCTGAATGCCGCAAATTCACTCGGCGAAGGCTCCGGCTGCTTCCAGGCGATTTTCTTTAGTGCGATGCGTTGCAGACTTGTGGAAGCCAGAGATTTGTGTTGCGTGTTGACCTGTTGCAGGGCTACGCCAAGATGCTGGGCCCCGCCGCTTCGCGAGCTGAGAACGGGAATCGCAGCGTTTCTTTGCCTCGCCCTTGTTCCGTTCTCTCAGGTAGGCCACGTGAGTACTGATGTCTTCGAGGGTTTCGGGCGCAGCTTTGAGGCGAGCCTTCCGGTTCTGGAAGCCTTTGAGTGAGGGCCGGGCATTTAATTTTGCGCCGTGGTTTTTCCGTAGGCCCTGAATGTGCGTGCTCCCCAGGTCCTCCCATGTCCTCCCCTGCCCTGTCGGTATGTTCCAAACATCCACCCACCCTCCCTCCCGCACCTCCGTCCGCCTTTCGTGAGCCCCCCTCCAAGTCAAGGCAAGGCGGGTTTTAGATATTGACATGTCTGATTCAAGCCATTGCCTCTACATGCGTCTGAATCCAAAACAATAAGGAAACTTCTGCCACGCAGCGTCTTCGGATACTGCCATGCGGGAACCCAAAAACGATAAGGATGATTTTGAGGGTCGGCTCACCGTTTCAGGACGGGCCTGAGCGCTGCTAGACCCTCTGCACAGAGAGAGAGAGAGAGAGA